TCTCCTTAACATTGCTGCCACATGTTGCCGCCATCTAGATTCTTGAGGGCGTAGTACTTCTGTCGCGGTACACTGTGAGCTGAGGTGCATCGGTTCGGTAACGATTCCGCAATTATAACATTCTCCGGAACCAAGAATTGCCGTGCTCAGACGCAGCGGGTATGGGCATTCTAATGATGGGATTCCTTCAGTGCCATGCATGCCATGCCATGTGTTCACATCCGCTTCGTATTGACATATTCCATTTTCTGTGTTCTGGCATTGCGGTACCGTGTTCAGCTTCTCCATAATCTGTGTCCTCGTAAAGGTTACGCGTGCAAGTGGATTACCTCGCCATCCCATAGGACTTGCTCCTGTATTCCGTAATGGTCTATTGACTGGCGCTAACAATGTTCCTTGGGCTGTCATGGCGCCTACGTTTACATTTGAAGGTAGCGAGAGGAATGGGCTAGTGTTTGCGTATGCGCGTGATGTTCGGTAGTATGGTTGTGCTATGTGTCCGCTGTCCATAGATAATTGTGAGAACTGTAGAGGAAGTGTGTTGAGTGATGGTGAGCTTTGAGCCTTCAACTGCGCGATGTCGGTGTTGCACATTCTGTTCATGTTTAGGTCCTCTTTAGCTCTCTTCAACTTGATTGCAGGCACGCTTTCTATGTCTTGAAGGAATTCTTGCCACAATGAGTAGGAGCACGTCATGTGGTCTTTGAGTATGTTAGGTATTCCTTCGAGCGTGTATTCCACCAGGAGTCCTGTACTATCACCCATGCCCATGGCAATGTGCATGACCTTGTTGGCCCAGGTGATGTGTCCATAGGTGCCTGTGGGTTCTCCTGGTAGCCATACTCCAATGTCTTCTTCTTTCAACACTTGCGCCATTATGTGTTCCTTCTGTTGCGCTCGCGAGTACTGTGGTGGTTTTGGTGCTGGCCACCATATCGTGAATTCTCTTTGGAGCTGTGTGAACGAGCCACAGATGCTGTCGAACCACTGATCCGCCATGCTTCCTGGTGCGAGCTGCATCTTAAGTCGTCATACACGCTGTGCATCTGTGTAGCTGTCTGGTAAAGAGAGTTGGAATTGTGCGAACCATAGCGATGGCTCTTCCTTTTCTCTATAGTCGCCATGGAATAGCGGAATTGAGCGTGGATTATCATTGCTCATGATTGGTGTTGACGGACAAGGCATTGTATAGGGCTTAGTGTTTATGAATGAGGATGTCGTACTGGGAGTAGTAGAACCGCTGCTGTGGTAAATCGGCGTGAATTGAGCTGGTCGTAAATGTGTGGTAGGGCTGTCTGGCACATGTTCTGCTGGTGCTCCTACACGGGCAGAGTGTTGTATATGTGGGGGAGCTGAAGAGTTACGTGGACAATGGGGGGTAGTTAGTTCTGGAGTGTTCCCCTGCATAGAGGAAGCTGGTGAGACTGATGTGTGGGTTTGAGTATTGGTTAATAAAAAACTCTGAGTGGTGAGATGTCGTATCCTTGCGACGTCCTCTAGTGTGAGTCGCTCTGATTCCTGGTTGCTTGCTGCTCCTGATGTTTGTTCTGTCATGCAATGGATCTCTATCTCACTCTCATCACCAGGTGGACCCAGCTCTACCTAGCGCTCAGGAGAGGACGGGAGACGAAGAAGGCTGCTGCTACTGCAACAGCGGCTATGGATGAATGGATGATGTCCATACAATGTGTGTGCTACATGACTATGTGCACTGAGACTCCGAGAACCCCCAAGACCCCTGGCACCCCTCTGCCTGCATCTCCTGTCCTATGCTCACGTCCCACCGGCAACCCCCATTGCAGCGCATGGCATGCATCTGTGGTCTCTTCCATGACTTTGTTACCTTGAAACCACAGGCCAGTCGGCACTTCACCCACACGCTCCAGTCCAACCAGGAGATTAACTGTGTCACATCCTCCTTCCATTCACCCATGAGAGTATGTATGTGATCAATGTTCTACAGTGAGTCGCACATTCTTTCCAAGCTTGACACAAGTCATTTGACATTATCTTCCTCAGTGGCAATGTACATCGTCCAGCAGATATGAGCAAATGTGCTGAGCGCAACGATACTTCACCAGACATACTTCAACCTACCACAAACACTCCTAAGCACCACCCACTATACAGGCAGTCCAGCATGGATTTCATGACTGACACAAAAGCTGACCATAATGAGAGCATTGCTCGGTATGTCATTCCCTCCAATCTATCCCCTTATCTGATTATACGCAGCCTTTCACACCATCTCCAGCGACACAAGCGCACTTTCCACCACCCATACCTATGTCCTGTTCATTTGTGTCGTCCAATGGAACATTCCCTTGCTCCCTCGACACCCAGCTCATCAATGCTCAATGCCTCTCAAGGCAATATTCGAAAGTCCACTGTGTCCTCGAATTTGAATTTGAGAAGTCTGAGGTTGAAGATGAGGGTTGGGATGGTATATTTCTCGAAGACACTCACTGTGATGACTCGGAATCCAATACTGACATTGATTTACTGTAGTATCTATGTTGAATACATATCTTGTACAATATTGCATATTTTACATGCTTGGGCCATGGCTTGGGCCAGAGCCAGGCCAAAGCCAGCCAGCTTTCATGGCTTTGGCCTGGCCTGTATTTTTGACGAGCCAGAGCCATCTGAAGCCAGGCCAAAGCCATGGCTTTTGGGCCAAGCTAGGCCAGAACATCACTAATAGATAGATAGATTGTAGATAGACAGACTTTTTCAAAATTCAGATAATTCTTGCTAATAATTTGTTCTTGTTCAAATAATCCATCTGACATTATCTAACATTATCATTCTTAATGTAATTATGTGAATTCACAACATTATGTAAACTTTAGCAAATTTATGTAATTTTGCCCCAGGAGGGTTTTCCTGATGTTGTAGGCAGGAAGTGACTTTGGATTGTAGACAAGGATCCTGGTATTGTTCTGGTATACTTATGTGATGAATATATTCCATATGTTCATAGTAAAAGACTACCTACCATCCTAGAGGGCTGGAGCTGCAGGAAAACTTTTCTCAGGGAGTGAACCACCAGGAAGATAACAATACATATCACCCTAGGGACTGATCCTACTGACCTATACTCTTGATATGATGTGTATACTAGTAAAGAGATGTTAGAAATATCATTTACCAGTCTATATACCTAAACACTAAAAAATGCGAACTGGTTTATGTTTTTTGAGAGGTATTCACGAATTTAACATATTTACTGATGTAGGACACTACAGAGGCTCAAACAAGCGGTGTGATATATTCATTAACACTCTAATATATGATATATACAGCCAGAATTGCTTTTCTGCTAAAGGGGCAAAAAAGCAAATATGTTTTAGTCCTGGGATGCTGTCATGAATGCTGTCTGCTGACTTTCGATCACATTTCCTTTTTCGTAGTACCAGTACTTACATCTTTTTCATTTCGGCTTTCTCTCCTTTCTCAGTTTCGTGCTCGTCTATTTTGATAGGTATAACCTACGTTCTTGTATTTCTGTATTCTAATGTCGTCTATTTTGATAGTCGTTGTGGTTGTCGCTCGGCGTCTTGCCTCGGCTCTTCTCTCTTCTGATAGAAGCACGAAACTGCTCTTACTGACCCGAGACCTCTTTCTAACGTCAATCACACATTTTCCGTCACATTTAAACCAAACACTCGAACGCCTTCTCCAATTTCGGAGACCTCTGATCCTTCTACACATTCAACCAACTCCTTCCCTGAAATACCTCAACCCCGACTTTCAATCTCTATTCAACCTCCTTTTCAAGCCCCTAAACCATCATTGCATTCTACCATGTCTACTTCCGGCTCAAAATCTGATAAGATGCTCTTGTCTCGCCCTGATGACTTCAGTGGTGTCAAGGGGACTGTTTCTTTCAAAACCTGGTGGCGACAGGTCCGCGTAATGTTCGAAGCGGAGCCTAAGATTTTCACAGATGATAAAAAGAAGGTTTTATTCACTACATCTTGTATGAAGGGAGGTAGTGCTGGTCTTTGGGCTGACAACTATACTGAAGAACAGTTTTCCTTACCTTCTGCTCAACGTTGGAGTTTTGTCGATTTCGAGGCCACTCTAAAGGCTTCGTTCGACGATGCAAATGCCAAGCGCGAGGCTCAACGTCAACTTGAGCTCTTAAAGCAGGGTAGCTTAACTGTGGAAGAGTTCTTTGTTCAATTCAATCAACTTGCTCGAACCACAGGATAGTCTGCAGGGAGTGATGATCATTTGAATCTCCTCCTTGAACGAGCTCTCAACTCTCGCCTCGTGGACCGTATCTAGGAAAGTTCTGACACTATCAAGGCCGGAACCTTCACAGCCTGGAAGGCAAAGGCGATTGAACAAGATCAGCTCTATCGCCAACGTGAAGCTCGTCGTCAGCGCCCTCACCTACCCATCCCTCCTCCACCTCGAGCAAACTCTGCTCAGACTCCGCGTTCCACTTCCTCTCCTCAACAATCTTCTTCTACGACCCCGGCTACAGGAACCTTTAGTAGCCAAGGTCTTCCTATGGACATCGATGCTTGTTGTCGTCAAGGATTATGTTTCAAGTGTGGCAGACACGGTCACTTAGCTAAAGACTGTCTTCAAGGAAAACCGGCAGCGATACGAGCGGTCCTTGAAGAACTGCCTGAAGAAGATAAGGAGGATATGAAGAAGTGGTTAGGTGAAAAGGGTTTTTAAGAAAGTTGGGAGGTGGCGCACCCTCTCCGACCAATTCGAGTTCTTCGTTTTCTCTACCTTGTAACTTCCAGTATGCAAACACGAAACCTTATGTTGAAGAGATTGAAGACGAGGACTCGAAACAAGTGCATAGCGAGCCAAAGGAAGGGAGTGAAGCCCCGAACCTGAAGCTCTCATCTAAAGGGAAAGGCATTCCTCTGGAACATGGAAGTGGTAGATCCGAAGGTGAAACTGCTGCTAGTAACCTAAGGGGACCCCACGATGCCAAAGTACCTGCAGCAAGACTACAACCCTGGTCCGCTATTTGGTATGCTCAACGTTTTCGGGACCAACCATTTGAGAAAGCTATGGGCTTACTTCGAATGTTGGTACACCCAAAATGCCATCTCGAAGCCACCGCAGAAGTCCTTAAAGAGTTAAATACACTTTCACTTGAGGAAGCCTCAGAAGCGATCAATGAACTTAGTACTCCGAAATGTTACATCCGAGGAACGGGAAATTCATCGACTTTAAGCGCAATACTAAATACTCTTGATGACCGTCGAGGTTTTAGTGTGAATGCACTCGTTGACAGTGGGTGCACAGGCTCCTCAATTGATGCGGGTTTCATAGTAGCCAAAGGAATAAACACACAGAAGCTGGCCCGTCCAATTCCCGTTTACAATGCCGATGGAACTCTCAATGCAGGAGGTGTGATCACAGACTACGTCACCCTTCAACTAACCATCAATGATCATATCAAACGTCTCACTTTGGGAGTTACGGACCTTGGGAAGGGAGAGCTATTTATCGGACATGAATGGCTTAAACATCATAATCCCTCTATTGATTGGACAGCTGGCACACTCAACTTTGACCATTGCCCGAAGACTTGTTCATATGCTCAACATTTATTTGGGCCTGAGCAAACAGAGGAAGACGAAGAGTTGAACTGCGTGAATAGTGATCCAGAGTTGACCCTAAGCGAGGGAGAGAGATTGTTTGCTTTCGATTTCGACGGCTACATGAAAGAAGGGACTTTACATATTAAAGCCCACACTACAATGTCTCAACAATTAGCCGAAGAAGTGTCCAGAAAAAAGACTGAGAAGACTTTCGAGGAGATGGTCCCAACTTCATACCATGACTTCAAGGACATCTTTAAGAAAGAATCTTTTGACGAGCTCCCGCCACGAAAACCTTGGAATCATGTGATTGAGTTAGTTCCAGGGGAGCACGCCATTAATTGTAAAGTCTATAATCTTAGTCCAGAAGAACAACGAGAACTTGATGCATTTCTCGAAGAAAATCTCCATTCTGGTCAAATCCATTTGTTGAAGTCCCCATTTGCATCTGTGTTCTTCTTCATAAAAAAGAAGGGTGGAAAGCTTCGGCCAGTACAGGATTATCGAAAGCTTAATGCATGCACCGTAAAAAATCGGTATCCTCTTCCTCTCATCCAGGAACTCGTCCATAAGCTCAAAGGCGCCCAGTATTTCACTAAACTGGACATCCGCTGGGGGTACAATAATGTACGAGTTAAGGAGGGCGATGAATGGAAGGCGGCTTTTCGTACAAATTGAGGATTGTTCAAGCCACTAGTAATGTTCTTTGGCTTGACTAATTCCCTGGCTACATTCCAAATGATGATGAACGACATTTTTCGAGATCTTATCAGTGATGGAAAGGTAGTTATTTACCTAGATGACATCCTCATCTTCACTAAGACTCGGGAAGAACATCAACATATTGTACGCCGCGTCCTCCAACTCCTTCGCAAGAACAAACTTTACCTCAAATCTGAAAAGTGCGAATTCGAGGTGAACGAGATCGAGTACCTAGGTCTCGTCATTTTGGAGGGTCAGGTTAAGATGGATCCTGTTAAAGTTAAGGGGATCATTGATTGGCCTGTACCTACCGCAAAACGCGAACTACAAGTGTTTCTCGGGTTCGTTAACTTTTATCGGAGGTTTATTCGAGGATATGGATGTCTTGCGAAGCCTTTAACGAGCTTGACAGGAAACGTAGATTGGTCCTGGGGCAGTCAGCAACAGGAGGCATTTGACACGATCAAGGAACGTATATCTTCTGCTCCTGTTCTTGGCATCCCGACCGACAAAGACCCTTATCGTGTGGAGGCTGACAGTTCAGGGAAAGCTATTGGGGCGGTGTGTTACAAGTAACATCGGCTACATGGCCCCCCTATCATTTTTCCCCTTCGTCCTCGCCCTCGTATGCCTCCGGCTCGTACTTCTCTACCGACTATCCGTTGACCGGATCCTCGGGACCATTCCCGTCCCCCATCCCCCTCCTATCGCACCAACGTGCGCACGTGCCTTCGGGCTATGACTTGTTCTGACTTGTGCCACCAATGTGGCTTTCCTTATCTTGTCTTATCTTTCCTCTGACTCATGCGTGCTGCGCATGGTATCATTTACCGTTGGCTCGTTCCAACGTTTCTCAGTCTCATTCTGCATTCGACCTCACATCACTAATCAGACTCTGCTATCAGCGTACCTATACCCTTTCCGTTTCCCCTTTGCCCTTACCTACAGTACGGTAGCCTTGCCCTTAACCCTTTCCACTTAGTATAAGTAGTCGGTCACCCTGTACTAGATTCTCTAACTTGAATCTACTCAATCTTCCCTCGAACATACTTCCCTCTGAAGCCCCCTCAGCTTCAGTCTCTAGTATCTTTTCTTAGGTGCTCTTCGCGCCTAAGTCTACCTCGATCGACTACTCATCGTTCGGACAAGACTGTCCTTACTTTGGGAACGTCAGTGACTTTGAAGACATCCGTCTTAGAAGTCACGTGACACGCGCATCTCTGATATCTGCCGACTCGACATCGCCAGTCTCAGTCGCTAGACCGGACCCTTCCGGTTACGTCACGAACGTTAGCGGACGACACCCCTCTTAGGGCTCCGCATAACAGATCTATTTGAGTGCGTAACACGGTGCTCTCGCAATGCCAAGAGGGTGTTTGGAAACCCATCGCTTTCCTGTCAAAAGCATTAAATGAAACTGAGTGGAACTACGAAATTTACAACTGTGAGCTACTTGCAATTAGGACTGCACTTGCAGAGTGGCGTCATCACCTCATGGGAGCAATAAACGATTTCGAGGTATGGACAGACCATAAGAACCTCGCGTATTTCTGCAAGCCTCAGAAGTTGAATCGTCAGCAAGCCCGGTGGGTGACAGAACTGTCGAATTATCATTTCAGTCTGCATCATAAACCCGGAAAGACCAACCAACGAGCAGACCTTCTATCAAGACGATCAGATCATCAGGTGGGGGAGAATGACAACAAAGATATCGTCGTTCTTAAGCCTGAAATGTTCCATCAAGTAGACCTCAAGACTGTAGACGAGGATTTTCTTACTCGCGCTCGTCGTCGTCACGCAAACTGAGATGCAGTAGTCACTAAAATGCTCACATTGAAGGACAAAGATTGGTCAGAGTCGGAAGGTCTCGTTACCTGGAAGGGTCGAGTCTATATCCCTATAGATTGTAAGCTTCGAGAAGACATCATTCGGGAACATCATGACTCCATTTTAGCGGGTCATCCAGGGAGGTATAAAACTCATGAGCTGATTACTCGTGACTATTGGGGGCCACAGATCTTAGCTGACATTCGACACTATATCGATGGTTGTGAGAGTTGCCAACACACCAAACCAAGGAACACTCAGCCTGCTGCCCCCCTACATCTGAATGAGATCCCCACGCAACCTTGGGAGCATATATCTGTGGATATTATCGGTCCACTCCCAGAATCGGTAGGTAACAATGTGATCCTAGTCGTTGTCGACCGATTCTCGAAGATGATTAAAGTGGTGCCGATGAACACAGAAGTCACATCCCTAGGAGTTGCACAAATCTTTCAAGATTATATATTTTGAAGCTATGGTCTGCCTCATAAGGTCATCAGTGACTGAGGCTCGAATTTCGTATCTGCCTTCATGCGCGACCTTTACCGACTTCTCGATATCCAGAGTAATGCGAGCACAGCCTACCACCCACAAACGGATGGTCAAACTGAACGAATCAATCAAGAGATAGAACATTACCTACGTGTTTTCTCCAACTACCATCAAACAGATTGGTCTGAGTGGCTCCCTCTCGCCGAGTTTGCCTACAATGACAAGGTCCAGTCTTCGACCGGTCATTCACCATTCTTCGTCAACTATGGCTATCATCCACGAAAGGGAACTGGATTTCGTCAAGAAGTTAAGGCAGAGGCAGCGAAAGACTTTGCAGAGCGGATGCGAAAGACACGGGAAGAAGCGGAATCAGTGCTCAAACGAGCTGCTGAGGACATGAAATGATTCTATGATCGGAAATGGAGTGAGTCACATAACTTCAAAATTGGAGACCAAGTATGGTTAGAGGCTACTCACATTTCGTCTGATCGACCTGCCAAAAAGCTCGATGACAAACGCTTCGGACTGTTCAAGATTCTAGAAAGATATGGAGCTTCTGCTTATAAGTTCGCCCTTCCTGGAACTTGGAAATCCATTCACCCAGTCTTCAATGAATGTGTTCTATCCCCATTTACACCCACCGAATTTCCTTCCCAAAGAAAACCACCGCCGCCACTGCCTGTACTAGTTGATGGTTACGAGGAACAAGAAGTCGAAGAGATTTTGGACTCGCGACTTCACCGAGAGAGATTAGAGTATCTCGTGCACTGGAAAGGTTATCCTCGTGAAGAACGGGAGTGGTTGCTAGCTTCCGAACTCAGAAATGCACCTCAAGCCATTGCCGACTTCCATCGCAAACATCCTGCAGCACCACGCCCTATGCCAACAATGAGGTTGCGTTTCCAGGCACTCGAAAACTTAACTGTACCAACACAAGTGCCATGTTGACTGTTCAACTGGGAGGACGGAACATTTGAACGGGACCTCCATTGGTCGTGGGACGCGACCATTTGACGAGGGGGTATTGTCATGAACGCTGTCTGCTGACTTTCGATCACATTTCCTTTTTCGTAGTACCAGTACTTACATCTTTTTCGTTTTGGCTTTCTCTCCTTTCTCAGTATCGTGCTCGTCTATTTTGATAGGTATAACCTACGTTCTTGTATTTCTGTATTCTAACGTCGTCTATTTTGATAGTCGTTGTGGTTGTCGCTCGGCGATAGATGCACATATTGTAGTCAGCACTGTAGACTGCTGTACAAGCTCTCAGACAGTGAAAAAAGCGGTCTATTGTATCATTTTATGTATGTACATGCCATTCTACTACTTATATACATGAGTGAGCAAGCGGAAAGCTCTGGTGCAGCAGTAGAGCCAGGGAGGTATGTGGGAATAGTGAGATTATTGGAATATCCCAATTTGGTAATTTTTCCGGTGGTAGCGCTATTCTTGGAAGCCTGAGAAAAACATTTCCAGTAGCATCGAGATCACAAGAGAGATCCCGATCTTCAGAACCAGTGAGGCATCGTGCCTGTTAAGCTTCGTGAAGCTTCATGTTGGTGGCTCTGAGACACACTTACAAAATGTACTGTGTATAGTTAGACATGGTTAAGTATCCCCCTGCCATGAACAGGTGGTATTACTTGGTATAACTTGTCTAACTTTTTGAAAATTTGTCACACAGTGTCTAGGTTTGTATCGGAGGGTTTTCCTGATGTTTACGCCTGTAAATTTACACCCCTCTATTTGACCGTACACTAATTCTGGAGAAACCAACCTAGGTTCATCAATGCGGTTTGTGGCTGTGCTACGACGTTACTTGAGCTGAACTTTCTTTCATTCTTGCGCGTTATCCAATATCCCACCCATGAGTGATTGGACGATGCAAAGGTACTTCTGTGGAGAAACGGGGTGACGAAAGGCAACTCGGAACTGGGAGCTCGTAAGTAATAAGTAATGTCACGATGTTCCTGCATACTATTGATCCAGTACAACTAAAGTACATTTAGATGTCCTTATAGCTCACCCACCACTGAGGCGATTGGCAGAACAATGTCGTCATCATGTCCATTTGCGCTTGTGTAGGCCGTGCTTGGAAGCTGATGGGATCGTCTGAACAAACGGAGAGGACCACCACCACCTCTTCTGCATCGTACTCGACTTCAAATTCATCGTCTGCGTATCCAATCGCCGAGGTTTCGTTTTCATAATCGTGGCTTGTATAGCCCTCATCTTCATCGTCCTTGATATTTTCATTATGGCCCCTAATAACGGCCTCGTATTCATCAGTCTTGCTGTCGTCGTCCTTTTCGTCTTCGTAGCGACTTGCATCGCCCTTGTCTTCATCAGTCTTTGGATCGTCTTCTTTTTCGTCTTCAAAGCGAGTTGGATCGTCCTCGGCTTCATCAGTCTTTGGGTCGTCCTCCTTTTCATCTTCGAAGTAAAATGTATCGGCTTCTTCGTCAGTCTTTGTGTCGTCGTCCTTTTCGTCTTCATAGTGAATTGTATCAACTTCTTCGTCAGTCTTTGGGTTGTCTTTTTCGTCTTCATAGAGACTCGACTCTTGTTCATCAGTATTCGTTTCGTCTTCCTTTGTGTCTTCGTGGTCAGTTGGACCGCCCTCATCTTCATCAGTCTTTGTATCGTCCTCGTTGTCAGCTGACCCTTCTACCTCCCCCTCCGAGTCTTCATCCGCAGAATCCTCAGGCTCTAAGACTAGGTCGACACAACACTTGTAATCCAACTGACGAAGGCGCAACTCCTTCATAAGCCAATTACGAGTCAACGACGCGCACGTGGGATCATGAAAATTGGCGGGATTGATGAACTTCTTGATCTCGTTCTCGAAGGCAAGAATGAAGTCTTGGGTGATGCAATAACCGTAATGATGTTCGCGGTTTCCTCTAGGAGGGCACTCGATATCAATTTGAGACTCCTGGGTGGATGAGGAAATCTGCAGTATTGAGGTGAGGTTTAGTATATTATATAACGCTGAAGAATGATATTGTAGGTTCGAACCTGGAACTTGAGGCTTTGGACGAATTCTTTGAAATAGAACGACAATTGCTCGAATGACAACGACATTGTGCGTGAAATGATTAGGATGATGATCGGGTACTCTGACTGAATCTCGGCCAACCTGTAATATATGATTCCCTTTCATCCACTGTGCCCTTTCGGACTATTTCCCCTTTGTTCGGTGGTCATTGTTGCACAGGTGGCTCAGGTTGGTCAATACTAGATTGGGCGTGGAAAATCTGAAATCACAATGGCTTCTTCAGAGTCCGAAGCGCTGTGCAATGCTTCCAGGGAACCATTATTCTTCGGCGACGTGCACACCGGCCGCCCAGGCTGGCGCGGTGCTTCACGACCTGCAAGAACGTTCTGAATGCATTTCTATGACTTGCAAAGGTGCAACCAAGAACATAAGTTGATCATGAGCATGGCATGAACCTCTTCCGTAGAAAATCAGAGATTTGGCCGGTTGTTGGGTCCGTCTTGGACGTTCTTCCTGCTAGGCTGAATATTATTCCAGCCTTGAGTCGTACTTACTGCCTTAGTAGGCGATCGACTTTCAACCTACAAATTCTAAATGGCACGCTATTTTCAAATTGGTCTCACAAGAGAGCAACTTTGATTCAGTGTTACACACAAGGCGAACTTAAGACTACGAAGGACAAAGCAAGCAAGGTGGGATGTCGCGTATTATGCAAGTGAAACAAAACTTTTAAGTTCGTGCGAGATGTGAATCATGTACCAATGTTCTACTAAGCTAGTCGTAAGAACTGGGCATGCGTGAAAGAAGTGAAGCCGATCTCTCTAATTAAAATAATTATCAAGCACCTGAGTTTAGTATTTTCCAGCATTAACACGATCAGTTTCCTGCCCTCCTCAGCGGCTCCACCTGCTTGCGTCCCACCCGAGTTAACGCTCGGTCCAGCTCAATGCTCGGAGGACCCGCAATCAATCTTAGCACCAATCAGCAACATTTTAAACATGACAGAATTGCAGACGTATTGTACAGACACAGCCAAGACTCTAGGTGAAAAATAATACACGGGCCATCAAAGTGACCGATGACTGGAAGATAGTCGAGTTTGACTCGTAACATATTGGGTGGTTTGGTAGATAATCAAACATGAACCTCCATCCCGCCCCATTCCAACACCTTGAACAACGCTGTATCACTGGCTCTTACAAGATCAACTCCAACTACATCCGCCCACCAAGCAACGTCTTTCCCTGCTTGCATTCGCGCGTTAGGCCAATCCGCTAAGTGTTCCTTACGGATACCTCTGAATAGCATGAATACCCGAGTCACGATGTCAGGTTGCGGAGAAAGGCTTAAAGGAGCGGCACGTTCATATGCCAGTTGAGGGACAAATCGGAGGGCGATGTGTTCATGCTTGAGGATAGACGGTAGCCAGTAGCTACCGTAGTAGTAATCAGTTTTAGTGTGATGTTCCGAGATGGCACATACGGACGCACGTGATAAAGGATGTTCTGGCTTCAGTGTGAAGTCCCAGAGCCTTGAGCGACTTATCGAGATAAACGGTTGCTTTGTCCACTGAGATAACAATGGAGTCCGTGTCGCCGAGAGTGCTGGATGTAGGACTGAATACATCCACTGATTGCAGTTCAGATGCTGGCGAACGCGGAAATGCATCCGAATTTGTCCTGCGAAGATTCATGTAAAGTTAATTATGAGAGTGATTTCCATGTGATGAGGAAACTCACTCTGCCTCCCAGAATAAGTACGATACGTCTAAACCAGAGTTCCTTTCAGTCAAACTCCCGTCTTGGTGGGTGCGGACATTCCATTCGACATGCTGTCCGTGTTCTTGCTTCAAGGTAACAACGGGATAGATAGCGGAAAGGCTCCACTCAGGACTGAGGGATAGTTTGACCGAGACATCGATATCGGAGGGCGAGTATAGATAGATCACTGGCTTTCCACCGACCTGTTCCATTATAAAAGAGATAGAGTCTCCATTCGAGATATTGTATGACCCGATACTCCTGTTGTGATTCAATCTCGACCCACGCCACATTGTCTTGAAATCAGTAGAACCTCCCAACTTGCGAGCAACAACATCAACAAGTTCCTGCACCCGTGCGGACAACTCTATCGTGGCAGAAAGAATATCATCAGATGCCAAAACCAAATAGACCCTGACTTTGTTATTGTTGCTGCGCAATGAAATAGCCCCAGCGTTACTACTAGTACTGCCACTGGGCGGAAGTGAGATGGGCAACGGTGATTCTGCGCGAGTCACTTCAACGAATGTAAGCGATTCAATTACTTTGTCCCATGTTTCAGCCGTGATGTCCACAAGTTGACCTTCGCAGATATCGAGTTGGTTGGTCTGGAATGTCATAGCGTTTCTTGGAATGGTTGGGAAATGTCTACATGCATTGTCTAGCATGACCTTATGATATCAATGAGCCATCTTAAAGATTTCAATGGTTGTTTCCACCTACATTATACGACTTGTGTCGGTTAACCATTACACGTTTTTGACCATGTTTGAGAACAAGGAGTTTGGGGATTGGCTTCGCTACGTTGGCTCCAGCCTTTTTTCTGGAAACCTTGGGCATGGCAGTATAGAAACAAAAATTCAGAGGTACGATGGTTCGAACTTTCAAGCAGAGTGCGACGATGTTGTCTTGTCGAGAATGTTTGTCCTCAGTAAGACTGAGTATACTTGGTTAACTTGAAGATGAACTCAGTGGCACCGCCACTCTCGGGTGATCGACATGCAATTACCATACTTGTAACGCTGGTGGATAATTCTTTGTATATGATGTTGCTCCATCTGAGTAAATGACAAGATTGAACATAATTTAGGCGAGATCTGCCAATTCGGCTGTATACTTGATGAGATTGGATGAAAGATACTCCGAATATCAGAGACGTCAGAGTTTTCCCTGGTAAGTACTATGCAGTC